AACGTCAGGCGAATAAACATATTGTCCCAGCGATCGAGTCGTCTTCTACTTCACCATCACACGGATATTTGAGGCTACTGGGCTGTAGGGATTGCCTTGAAGGTTGCCCGTTCAAACAACCCTAATTATCTAATTGCCGATAACTGTTTTATCCGTCTTTGTCTTGTGATATTTCGGGGCGTAAATATACTTGTACATCGGATGCCCAGTTATTTCAACCGCTCTCCTACACGATAGGTAGGCGTGGTGGAGAGTCCGTCTATGCGTGCCTTATCCGCCTTTCTGATTCTCTTTTTATATACGGCTGCAGCAGTAATTATGCATCTGTTGGCGTCGTGGAATAATAGCTCGCTCACTCGCCCTTCTCCTCTGTTTCCTTAATAAGTTCTGCGTAGGTCGTACAAAAGAAATAATTAAGCGGGCTGGTTTGAAAACCAGCTCGCGTGTGTAGCACGCATAGACGGGCAGAAATATATGTTTCGTAACAGATGCTCGGTGATTTTGAATGCTGTTTCAGCACTTTTATGCGTGAGGTTGGTGTCCGTCTACATCTAGCACACATGCGTTAGTGTTCACTTAAAGTCTGCTCGATTTCCTTTTTTTATATACGATATCATCAGTAATTGTACACCTGTTAGTGTGGTGAATTAACTCGTTCAATCGCTCCTCCCTTTCCTTTGCATAATTATTTGCTGTTCATCAATCTTTTTTGTCGTTTGATGGACTTGATGAAGGACAAAATGCATTCAGGTGATGCCATGACTTCACAGCGGACTCGCAGTGTGTTTGAGTTCACTGAATTGGCGGATACATACTTGCACGAAGTGGATGGCGTGAAGGGCCTAAATGAGGCCATGTTGAAATCATATGAACTCATTACTATGCATTTTCATTGGCATTCCTACCTAGGAGTACGTGCTTATATCCAAAATGCCGTACTACCGTATGCTCATTAGTTAGGTCTCTGAACGCACAAATCTACTTTACTCGATCTTTGCCCCCTGGGCTCTTTCCTATCAAAGACTGGTGTTCGATAAAACACTAATGAACATAGGTTCACTGAT